GCGAGGACGAGGACGAGGAGGAGGAGGAGCAGGTTCGGAGGAGGAGGTGGATGAGGGGGAGGAGGGGGAGGAGCAGGAGCAGAAACCTGATTCTGCCCGGGAGGTATAGCATGGCCTCGCACGGGCACGCGCGCCCCGTGCATGCCCCGTGCGTGCCCCGTGCATGCCCCGTGCATACCCCGTGCATACCTTTTGCATGCCCCTTGCATACCCCGTGCATACCCCGTGCGTGCCCCGTGCATGCCCGTGCATGCCCGTGCATGCCCCGGGCATGCCCCGCGCGCGCCCCGTGCATGCCCCGCGCACGCCCCCGCGCATGCCAAGTGCGCGGCATAGGAGGAGGAGGAGGAGGAGGAGGAGGAGGAGGAGGAGACGGAGGGAGGAAGGAGAGGAGGGTGAAGGAGGATGAGGAGGAGGAGCAGAAGGATGATGGACGATGAGGAGGAGGGGGATCATGATGGGGAAAGGAGGAGGACGGCGCTACAGGAGGAGGGCGAGGAGAGGGTGAGGAGGAAAAAGGGGGAGGGGGAGGGAAGACTTAGAGGGCAGAGGGGCGGAGTGCGGCAACTCACACATGCAAACTCCCAGGAGGAGGGGGGGGGGGGGGGGGGGGGGGGGGGACAGGGGGGGGGAGGGAGGAGGAGGAGGAGGGGAGGAGGGGGAAAGGAGGAATGCGAGGACGGAGGGCGGGAGGTTGCCGAGGAGAAGAGTTCGCATAGTCTTTTCAATGCGGGGCTGTGAGAAGACCTCGAGACCAGGGGCCCTCGCTCGCCAAAACGGGCGCACGCAAGGGGCCCCAGGCAGCTGCGGAGGCCCCCCGAACTGAAATACCAGTGATCAGCTCCAAAAGTACGGGGGCTGCTGACGCCATCGCGCCGTCCAGAGACGCGGCGACCAGAGAAACCTCACTTCTAAGGGAGCCGACAGGTGCGCAGAGGAAACCTCGCCCTCTGAAGGGGGGAAGTGGAGGGGGTGTGGGGAGAGGAGGAGCAGAAGGGAGGAAGACGAGAGGAAGGAGGGGGGATCAGGGGCGGGGGGGGGGGTGGGGGGGGGGGGGAAGGACGCGCGCCTTCATAGGAGGCGAGGAGGAGGTGAGGGGGGGGAGGGGGATGGGGGGCAGGAGAGGAAGAGGAGGAGGAAGGAGGAGGAGGAGGAGGAGGAGGGGGGGGAGAGGGAGGAGGAGGAGGAGGGGGAGGAGGAGGAGGAGGAGGAGGGGGAAGAGGAGCGAGGACGGAGGGCGAGGTGCGAGGATGAAGAAGAAGAGCGAGGAGGAGGAGGGTATGAGACTGTGAGAATACCTCGAGACCAGGGCCTCGCTCGCCAAAACGGGCGCACGCAAGGGGCCCCCGCAGCAGCTGCGGAGGCCCCCGAACTGAAATACCAGTGGCTCAGCCTCCAAAAGTACGGGGCTGCTGACGCCCATCGCGCCGTCCAGAGACGCGGCGACCCAGAGAACCTCACTTCTAAGGGAGCCGCAGGTGCGCAGAGAGAACCTCGCCTCTGAGGGGGTGTAAGGGGGGGGGGGGGGAGAAGGGAGGAGCAGTAGGAGGAAGACGAGGAGGGACCTTCGGATGCAATCCGTTCAGGGATTGCGCAACTTCAGACAGCGTCCTCATAGGGATGGTCCTACCTTTAATCTAGTCGTATTAGGTGGGGGATGGGGGAGGAGGAGGAAGAGGCGGAGTGAAGCGGAGGAGGAGGAGGAGTGAGGAGGGGGGGGAGGCAGGAGGAGGGGAGGAGGGGGAGGAGGAGGAGGAGGGGGATGAAGAGGAGGAGGAGGAGGATGAGGAGGGAGAACTCGGCGAGCGCCGTCCAGAGACGCGACGGCCGAGAGACGTCGTCCAGAGACGGGCCGCCCAGAGACGCGGCGGCCTGACGACGCCCATCGCGCCGCCCAGAGACGCGGCGGCCGAGAGAATCGCTGGGGGGGGGGGGGGGGGGGGTCGATCGACTCGCGCCGCTGTTGTGCGGCGCGGGAAAGGCATAACGTAAAGAGCAGTACAGCCAAGACGGGCGGGGGGGGGGGGCGGTGGTTCCGTAGGCTGGTTTCAGTAGCGAGGAAAGGCGACGGACGGAGCACTGGCGAGCCGCGGAGTCGCGATTGGGCACCCCTCCTGGGGCCTAAATACATGCACCGCGGGGTGCCTCGTAGATAAACCTGCCGGTGTGTGTGTGTGTGTGTGTGTGTGTGTGTCTTATGTGTGCTGTGCAGTGTGCGTGTTGTGCGTGTGTGTGGTTGTGTGTTTGTGTGTTAGTGTGTGTAGTGTGTGTTGTTGTGTGTGTGGTGCGTGTGTATTGTGTTGTGTGTGTGTGGGTTGTGTGTGTTGTGTGTTGTGTGTGTGTGTGGTGTGTGTGTGTGTTGTGTGTGTGTGTGTGTGTGTGTGTGTGTTGTGTGTGTTGTGTGTTGTGTGTGTGTTGTGTGTGTGTGTGTGTGTGTTGTGTGGTGTGTGTTGGGGGGGTGGGGGGCGGGGGGGGGGCAGAAGGAAACCCGGGGGGCGCAAGGTATAACGCCCACGGCGCGCCTCATGAGATATAAACAGCGGTGGGGGGGGGGGGGGGGGCGAAACAAAAAAAAAACTATTCTCGGAGTGGCTTTCGCGGGGGTCGCGGCGATGTTCCCAGGGGCGCTTCCAAGACCACATTTCCGTATCTCATGCGTCATTTGGGCTCGGGGGTGCCGCAGTCGGGGGCGCGGGCTCGCCCCGCCCCTGCAGGGCCCCATGGCCGCGACGCTGGCGCCACTGTGCGCTCGCGCGCTCCGGGCAGCGTTTGCGGTCGGAGCTGCCGACCGCGAGGCTCGCGGCAACGGGGGGGACGCACATCTTCCTTTTAGCCTTCCAGAAGCCAGGGGCCCCAGGGCGCACGACAAATTTACCATTAAATTTGTCGTGCTGACGGCGTCGGGGGCGCCCAAGAAGTCCTCCAAAAACTCTCGGGCCCCGATGGGGCACGAGGCCAAGGATCAGGGCCGCGCCCCTGGGGCCCCCCCCCCCCCCCCCATGCCCCTACCGCGCAATCTCCCTGAGCTGCCTTGGCGAGAGATCGCCGAGATGAGCTCCTCTTCCTGCTGGGGGGATTATTCGCAGCATTGCCTTCCCCTTGTCAGGCGCATTATGTGTCGGGCCATGTTGTTGGCATTCCAAGGAATGTGGCCAAGGTTTGCTCGCATGGGCGCGGTGCCGATATTCAGATATTGCTGCGTTATTTTAGGAAGAGGTGGAATTGGAATTTGCGCATTTGGATTACTTGCGCCTACGCTTGCAACAACTCGGCCAAGGCGTCGACAGCATCGCTGCATAATTGCATCTGGGCCACTTTGCAGGGGATATCACCAGAGTGGCATTACCGACACTGACCAAACCCATCGATTCCGTGGTGAGTGGGCCACCCTGCCCCCCATGGTCAGCCCTAGGGGCAAAGAAAGCATTAAGCAATCATCGTGGCAAAGTGTTTCCCAGAGTGCTTGAATGGTGCGTTACTTTAAGGGTAGCTCTTTGGGAGATGTTATAGTATCGGGAGCATAGCTCGCGCGCCGTTGCCTTGGGCTCAAGGCACGCGCGCCCTATTTGCCCGGATACCTGATGGTATTCGCTATTTGCCCGGACACCGCGAGTGTTCGCTATGTGCTGGAAAGATCATTACATCGATCTTATCCTATCTTATCCGTCCACCCCTCATATTGTACTATCACAGCAGAGCGATGGACGCGATTTGCCATCCGATGTCTATCATGGAATCGGATGCTATTTGAGTTACCAGGCTCACTTTCGACTTGGTAGCGGAGCTGGCCGCACTCTCGTGTGGTCAGCTCTTGCTCTTCTTAGCCTCATACTCTTCGGCGCGATCTTCGTGACCACCTACCACCCTGCGCTACCACTCCCAGTACGTTTACGAGGATCTATCCAAGAGCAAGAAGCGACACGAGAGGTACGACGTCTAGACAACGATATCGGTACCATATACGCTTCATCATTGCGCTATTACCAACCGCTCGGCAACGAGCCAAAAGCGCAATACCTGAAGCATGGGCGGAGAGATCCGCCAGATAGAGCGCCTCGAAGACTCGACGAGGCGCTACCCCAGCGCGGCAACGCGCCTAATAACCGCCCTTATCTACACAGCCTTGGGCTGGTTATCTTCGCTATCATATGTTTCGCGCTGGGGGCCGCAATCGGACACATGCGTCGTGGAGACAACAGCACCGATGGGCAAACACATGGCCCATATTGGGACCCTCAAGGCAACGTACCTTTCCGCGAGTACGTTTATGAGGTCAACGCATGGCTCAACGTCACAAGCGGACGTATGACGCCACAGGCCCAAGCGGCCGCCATACAACGCGGCCTAGGTGGTGGGTGAGGCACGGTGGGGGCCAGGCCCCGAGCGTTCCCCCTCTAAGTCCTGGACCTCGCTCCTGGCGCACGAACGGCGCCAGACGCGGCGCGCGCCGCCATGCCGAGGCGCCCGCATCGGGCGGGAAAGCCGAGATGCGAGGCGGCGGAAGGGGCGGCGGAGGCGGAGGAGGAGGCGGAGGAGGAGGCGGAGGCGGGGGCGGAGGAGGAGGAGGCGGAGGGGAGGAGGCGGAGGAGAGGATAGGAGGAGGAGGGTCGTCCGGATAGGAGGAGTAGGAGGGCCCCTCTGGGTGCAACATCGCTTCGATCGCGGGATGCGTCGGTATTTCTGTGGCTCATCTTTTACCGCTCGCTTGCTGTGTTCCCCTCCCCCCGCAGGCGGGCGGGGATCGAGGGCTTCGCTCCCAAGGTGAAAAGACAGTCCGCATCTCGAGCTCGAGCTCGAGGAGGACAAGAGAGCCCAGAATCGAATCGGATCAGCGATCGAAGATCATCGGCAGCCAAGTCGGGAGAAGCCGAATCGGCAGAAATCGGCAGGCTAGCAGGCCTCCATGGAGAAATGAGGCCCCACATCGGAATCCGAAGTCGAACCGAAGCGGACTCGTGAGCCATCGACATCGAACCGAACCAGATCGGAAGAATCGAAACTGGGGAACCAAAAAGGTACCAATACCGCTACTCCCCGGACCTCTCCCGGGGTGCGTTCTGACCAGGATTTCGGGGGAGATCCAGCGGTGGCGACGAGGGCCTCCCAGGAAGCCGAAAAAAGGGGAAACGCCCGAAGGGTAGCGGTATGGGTATCTTCCTCCTCTGAGAAACGAGCCGGGTGGCAAGGAAACTTTCGCTCAGCGCGCTGGCCAGAGCGGCGGCGGCGAGCGTTCCCCGGCGCGCACCTGCAGGGCGTCTCCCGCAGGGGTCTGGCGCTTCACGGCGATCCCGGCCCCTGGAGCGGCCCGCGGGGGGCCGAAGGGGGGGAGAAGCAGGGGAGAGGAGCTGGAGGAGCGGCAGGAGCGGAGGGAGGAGCAGCGGCAGGAGCAGCGGCAGGAGCACGAGGAGCGGGAGCGGGAGGGATTCCTTGCACAGACCTCAAGTCCTCCTCCTCCTCCTCTTCTTCCTCGTCATCTCCCTCTCCCTCCCCTCGTAGCACCCGCAATTGCGGATAAGAGTGAGGGGGCGGGCGCGGGCGACCGCGGGGAGGCGTCGCGGAGCGGCGACTCGTGGCACCCACCTTTCCTTGGGTTCCGATAGGCACGACTCTCAGAAAAATCATAAATCCTATACTTTATACTCACCTCCTTCATCCCCTTATATAACCCTATTACTCGTAAATAATCGTCATCGTCATCCTCCTCCTCCACCTCGTCCTCCTCCTCCTCCTCCTCCTCCTCTTCTTCCTCGTCCTCCCTCTCCCCCCGTCTTTTCATCATGGTCCTCCCATTGTCGTCCTCCCCCTCATCGGCCTCCATCATCGTCCTCCCATTGTCGTCCATCATCATCATCCTCCCCATCCTCCCCCTCCTCGTCCTCCTTCTCCCCCTCCTCCCCCTCCTCCCCCTCGTCCTCCTGCTCCTCCTCCTTTTCTCTCTCCACGTTATCCTTGCATCCTCTCTTCTTCCACGTTCTCCTCGTCCCCTGTTTACTCATCCTGCCTCCCCCTCCTTTCCCAAGATAACTGCAACGCAATCCTTTTTTCCACTTTATGCTCCCCGCCTTCTCTGATCAAGGCAACTCGCCAGGGCAAAGTTGCTGGACGGGCTGGCGTGGATGTGCGGGGCGTGAAGAGGTCCTTGCGGGCTCAGACGGCATGCAAGAATCCGCCGCCGCGCTTGTGCGGCATTGGTTTGTTCAGTGAACGTGGTTTAGGTCGCGGGTGGGTCGCGGGCTCTCCACCTCCACCTGGAAGGAATGCAAAAGCAGCCCGCCGCAAGCGCCAAAAAAATTGGTTCGTACACGGAACGAGGTTTGGGTCGCGGGTGGGCCGCGGGTTCTCCACAGGGAACGAATGCAAAGGATGCCCGCCGCAGGCGCCGAAAATGTGGTTTGTACCCTGAACGTGGTCGCGGGTGGGCCGCGGGCTCTCCACCTGAAACGAATGCAAAATATGCCCGCCGCAGGCGCCGAAAAATGTGGTTTGTACCCTGAACGTGGTTTGGGTCGCGGGTTGGTCGCGAGTTGGTCACGGGATGTGTCGCGGGCTCTCCAATTGGAAGGAATGCAAAAAAAGCCCGCCGCAGGCGCCGAAAATTGTGGTTTCTACCTTGAACGTGGTTTGGGTCGAAGGTGGGTCGCGGGTGGGTCGCGGGGTAGGTCGCGGCTGGGTCGCGGGTGGGTCGCGGGTGGGTCGCGGGGTGGGCCGCGGGGGGGTCGCGGGGTGGGTCGCGGGTTGGGTCGCGGGGTGGGTCGCGGGGGGGGTCGCGGGTGGGTCGCGGGGTGGGTCGCGGGGTGGGTCGCGGGGTGGGTCGCGGGTGGGTCGCGGGTGGGTCGCGGGTGGGTCGCGGGGTGGGTCGCGGGGTGGGTCGCGGGGTGGGTCGCGGGGCGGGTTGCGGGTGGGACGACGACAACAAACAACAACAACAACAAACAACAACAACAAGAATCCGCACCGCGGAATTCCACATCAGCCACGCACACCAGGACAGTGAATGACCGTTCGGCGCCCCTCACTTGATAGTATATATTATATTAATATATATAAATATATATTGAATATTATATATACTATATATATTATATATCGCTTCTCTATATCTCTATCGATCTATATATATATATATCGTTATAATATCTCTCTCTCTTCTTTCTTCTCTCTCTCTCTCTCTCTTTCACCTCTCTCTTTATACTATATACATACAACATACATACATACACACACATCATACAGAAGACAGACAGACAGACAGACAGACAGACAGACAGACAGACAGACAGACAGACAGACATATACTAGAGCCACGCGCGCGCTACGCGCGCGCTTCGGTTCTAGTCACGGCATCCTGGCGTCAACAGGTGGCCACGGGAAGCGATGCCATCGACAGCGGATCTTGTCCCAGAGGGTCCTGACGGACGACCCTCCTGGAGCCTTGGAAATCTTGAACTGACCTGCCTCCTTCATGGCGTAATTCTGTCGCGGTGTTGCATTGCAGGAAAGTTCCAGAACGGCCTGGACTGAACCAGGCTGAATCGAACGGCCGCGGCGCCCCCCCCAAAACGAATCGAATCGAGCCGGAACGGTCGCGGTAGAGACCTGAACCGAACCGAACCAATATCGTTTGTGGACCGAGCTCGCACCGTCGAGAAACAGAAAAACAGGTTGGGTGGCCAGAAACCCCAGAGAAACCATGGGAAAAGCTAGGAGTCGAGCCTCTGGGGACCCTTGTGGGATGCCTATAGGAAGCCTCTTTTGCTGGCGAAGTGGCCTGGAGGGCTGTCATGGGGCGATCGTCGGCGTCGCGTAGGCCTGGAAGCGACTCTGGCGGTTCGTGGAGCCTACTTGGGGGCGCTGGTCCCCCCATGCGGAGCCGTCTTAGATCGCGGTTGGGAGCCCCAGGGGCCCGAACCACATCGGTCTGGGCGCCCTCTTGGGCCGCCGTGCAGCGTGGGGATGCAGAACAAGCTGGATGAGTGAAAACGTAAAAAACGGAAGAAAAAAATGGAGCAAGGCAAGGCCTCAGAGAGCCCTCCGGGGAGGCCTCTTGGAAGCATGCCATGTCGACGAAGTCGCTCGGGGGGCTGTCTGCGATCGCCGGCGTCGCGGAGGCCTGGAAGCGACTCTGGCGGCTCGTGGAGCCTACTTTGGGGCGCTGGTCCTCCCTCGCGGAGCCGTCTTGGATCGCTGTTGGGAGCCCCAGGGGCCCGAACCACATCGGTCTGGGCGTCCTCTTGGGCTGCCGTGCAGCGTGGGGATGCAGAACAAGCTGGATGAGCAAAAGCGTAAAAATTGAAAAATAAGGAGCAAGGCATGAGAGAGCCCTTCGGGGAGGCCTCCTGGAAGCATGCCATGTCGACGAAGTCGCTCGGGGGGCTGTCTTGGGGTGATCGGCGGCGTCGCAAGGATCTTGGAGCGTCCCTGGCCGCTCTGTGACCCTACTGGGGCACGCCGATCCTCCGGTGCGGAGCCATCTGGGGACAAGGTTGGGAGCGTCTGGGGCCGAACCGGGACGGTCTGGGCGTCCCCTGGGGCTGCCGCGCAACGTGGAGATGCAGAACAGGCTGCATGGAGAGAAACGTTGAAAAAATATTGGGAAACCAAGTGTGTGAGCTTTGCGGAGCTTTCCTGGAGGCCTCTGGGAGGCCTGTGGGAGACCTGGCGCACCAGGCGGGAGCAGCCCCTGGAGCTCCCTGCAACCTCTTGGGGCTCTGGTTGCTCCGGGACGGCGAAACCGTGCAAAAACACAAGGAAACTAAGGCCCCGGGCCCCCCATGCGCCGCCGAGGTCCATGGGCGGGACCGGGTGGCCGAAATCCTTCATGCAGTGCTATACCATATCGTGTTTGTATGCATCTAGATGTGCATGTACATATATATATATATATATATATATATATATATATATATATGATAGATAGATACACACATACCTATATATATACACACATGTATATACATATATACATACAAATATATCTATATGTATATTATCGCGCTCTCTCCCTCTCTCTCTCTCTGCTGTGCTGCTGCTGCTGCTGGTTTCACATCCTCGGATCATGTAGGTAAAGGCTGAGAAGCTGAGAGTACGAAAGAGGTGTAATCATACGAAGTCGTTGTGGAAAACAGGAGAAGAGAGGACCAAGAGAAGTAAGACGACAGCAAGATGAGGACAAATCTGGATGAGTGTACATCGGGGATCTCGTTCGCCGAATGGCAACTCAAGGGGGCGGACGATGGTCGACTCTGCTCGTCACGTGGCCTCGCAAAAGGGATCAGACTCGGCTCATCACATGGCAACGCACGGGTGCAAAAACAAAATGGATTCTGCTCCATTCTTCACGCTCTGGAGCGATTTATCCTAGTCCTAGGCCTGCCTGGGAAGAGGGGACGGGGATGAAGGTGGGGAAATGGGCTTGACAGCGAAAGGGTATCCCGTATGCCTTAAGACTCGTCCCGCTCGAATAAACAGAACCCCCCGTTTCATCGCGCCTAAATGTGCCACACACGCTCCTCCGTAGGGGGCGCCTTGCTAATTCCGATCCCCCCTGGGCCACAATGCAAATGCTTTTCATGATGATGATGATGATGATGATGATGATGATGATGATGATGATGATGATGATGATGATGATGATGATGATGATGATGATGATGATGATGACTGGACGCTGATTACGAGAGTTCAGGAGCGGAGAATGATGATGATCACGGTGACATACTTGAGGGCGGTGACGACAGCCAGTACGACGCCCATCGTGATCGCCGCGATCCGCCAGCGCGCCGCTGGGCACGGAATGGGTGTGTCCTCAGGACCTGGGCCCAATCGTTTTTTGTGCCCGGGCAGAACACCTGGGCGACACAACTCGAAGGGAGGTGCCCAAGGTGCCTGCATGAATTCACATGCAGTCGGACCTCGCAACACGATCGGGCTGCCAACCCGCCCGTTTTATTCTGGGACGCCACGAGGGCACCCAGCGGCACAGGTGCCACCCTGGACCTGGGCCCAATGCCCGAAGGCTCCGTCCTCACTCCTGGAGGGGTCTCTCGGGGCCGAGACCCCCACCTCGGCGGTGGACAAACCTCCCGCTAGCAAACCTCCCCTTCGTGAAAACGGCCTGGGGCCGAAACCGACAGACCCGGACCCGCAAAAACGACGGCCGCGACGCCCCCTCGCGAACCGAAAACGGCCCATTCCTTTATGGACGTGTCAGGGTAGGAGGTCTATCTCGGGAGCGGCCAAGAGGGGGGGGTCCAAGAGGGAGGGGTGCAAATCATGGCCGGCGGCATGTGCGCGGACCGGGGAGGGGGGCCAGGGACGTCATGAAACAAGGAGAGGCGCCACGAAATCTGGGGAAATATCATGGCCACCGCCATGATATTAAAACAGGGCTAGGATCGGGATAAATCGCTCCAGAGCGTTCCGGAGCGCTCTCAGAGCGTTCCGGAACGCTCTGGAGCGGCCGCGGCGCCCAATACATCCTCCAAACCCGCCGATTCTCAGAGATTTCGAGTTATCCCGATCCGATTTTTTTGTCCCGATCTTCGCGTCGTTTTAGATATCCACCCCCCCCCTGTCGTCACCCCCCTCTATTCCGCCCCCGAGTCTATCAAAACCTCTGGCCCACCTCCGGCCTCTCTCCCCGGGGCCTTCGCGCGTGCCCCCCTGTGGGGCTCTGCCGAGGGGTGGCGCGAGGGAATCGGCTCGGCGGACATCGGCAGCCAGGTCGGGAGAAGTCGAATCGGCGGAAATCACCAGACTACTCCAGATTTCGTAATAAAGTGAGGGGGGTCTCATTTCGGGGGGGGGTCTCTTCCAGGCTATCTTGGAGGGCCTGGGGGTTCTGGGGACGATGTTTTGGAGGGTTCTCCCACGGGGGAGGTCTGAAATGGCTTGTCTTGGAGGGTCCAGACCCCCTCCCTTTTATTACGAAATCTGGAGTATCATGCCTCCAGTGAGAAATCGAAGCCCACATCGGAGCCCCAAGTCGAATCGGATCGGAAGCGGAAGCCATCCGAGTCGAATCGGATCGAATCGGAGCGATCGAAACGAGCCCTGCCTGGGCCCCGTCCCCGAAGGCTCCGTCCTCACTCCTGGAGGGGTCCCTCGGCCCCGAAAGGCCCCCCTCCGGCCTCTCTCCCGGGGCGCTGCGCGCGTGCCCCCGTGGGCTTTGCCGAGGGTTTCTCCAAAGGGCTTAGGAGACCCCTCCTTCTCCTCGCTCCTCCATCACCTCCCCCTCGTCCTCCTCCACCTCCTCCTGCTTCTCCCTCTCCTCCTCCTCCTCCTCCTCCTCCTCCTCCTCCTCCTCCTCCTCCTCCTCCTCCTCCTCTCCTCCTCTCCTCCCTCCTCCTCCTCCTCCTCCTCCTCTCCTCCTCCTCCTCCTCCTCCTCCTCCTCTCTACAGGAGGAGGAGGAGGAGGAGAGGGAGGAAGGAAGCAGGAGCCCCCGGGAGGGGCCGGGCCCCCAAAGACGGTCCCAGGAGGGCCCCAGGTCGCCGAAGGATCGCTCCAAGACGCTCAGGAGTGAACTCTTCGGGCCGAAGATCAGCCCCGAGGAAGGGCCAGGCCCCCCAAAGACGGTCCAAGAGGGCCCCAGGTCGCCGAGCGATCGCTCGAAGACGCGCAGGAGTTCCCCCAGGGGGGGGGGGCCAAAATCATCGATGTTCCTCGGGTTGTTGGAGGTGTTTGGTTCTCTCCCCTTTTAAGCTTCCCGACCTTCCCCGACGGCCCTAGAGGCCCCAAAGATCGCCCCGAGACGGCCCAGGAGGCCTCCAAGAGGGCCCCAAAACGACCCAAGAGGCAACCAAGACGGCCAAAGAGGCCGCAAAGACGGCTCCAAGAGGGGGCCCAGATGGAGGACCCGAACGGACATTTCGAGCCCTCGGTCCCGAGGGGCCCCCAGGAAGCCCAAAGAGGCCCCCAAGAGGCCCCAAAAGGACCCAAGAAGCCGCTTCTTCAAGAAGCCCGCAAGCGACTCCCACGAGGCCCTAAAACTGCCCCCGAGAGCGCTCAGGAGAGCGCTCCGAAGAGACCCGAGAAAGCATCCCTGAGAACTCTGACCCACATCCCAGGCACGGTGGCGGGATGGGCCGAAGGCCATTAGAGCATGTTTGCGGGTGCGATAACAATTCTAAAGGTGGATGAATGGTAGTGGTGATTTGGTCACTGAAGACTAAGAGCTCAATTCGGGCCATCAAATCTGAAATGAAAGCATTGCGGTGGCTAGGGGTAGGGAGCTGTTAGCAGGGAAATGCTGGAAGCAGTGAATTGCTCATGAATGACAGATGTCATGGTGGTATCATTTGCACTGAACACGCGAATGACAAAACCACTAGAGAACTGTCGATGTTCCATGATCATGGTAGCCGGTGGGAGGGGGTACTGGCAACGATAGCAACGATGACGACCGCAACGATGACGACTACGATGATGTTGAGAAGCCGGAATTACGGCGGTGACGGAAATAAAGATTACGACGACGATGGCGTTGGTTTTCCGATCAGTGCGAAAATCAAGACGAGACGGAGATGGGCACAAGTATGTGCATGAAAATGGATACAGAAAGCCAGCCTGATAAACCGGATCCCGCTGGGGTAATACGTTCTGGGGAAGCCGAGAAGTACCGATACCGCTACTCCCTGGACCTCTCCTGGGGCGCGTTCTGGACGCACGATAAGGATGCAAGGGCCTTGAAAGGCCATTTCGATGCCTTTCGAGCGGGGCGCGGTCAACGAAAGTGGCCGAGGATGGACCGAGGAGGCAAGGATGCAAGGGTACCTTTGGGAAGGTTGTTGCCCATCCTTACTATGCGGGTTGACTGCACCTTTTCCTCATCTGAAGTTCTCTCTTCGGGGATCTTCTGACCCATGTCTATCCAGACCCGGATCAGACAGGCCTTGCAGAATCCTGCAAGATCCTGCACCCAAACCCGGGCCAATGCGAAGGATCCTGCAGGATCCTGCAGCATCCTGCACCCAACCCCGGGCCGATGCGGCCCTGGCCCTGCAGGATCCTGCGAGATCGGGCGCCCTGGCTAACCTCAAGGGGCCCAAGGACACACAAATAACTACACACAAATAAAATGATTCCCCATGTTTTCCTGCATTTTCTGGGCTTTTGTCTTCCAGCCCACTTCCCATAGTTTCCCCCATTTTCCTGGGAGTCGACGATGAATTGTGTCTGTGTGTTGTTTCCCCCTCCTGGCTGACCCCCGTTTGCACTGACCACCGTCCCAAAGTCGGGCGTTGGCAGAACTGGGTCTAATGGAACCTGGTTTAATAATTTGTACCGGGGGCGCCCCCCCGTCCCATTTCCACTGACCGGAACTGCCGTCACCCGAAAAACACCAGTTACGGCAAACCTGGTTTGGTGAATCTGGCCAATTGAGGGGCCCCAGGGCCCTACCACTAACCGGTGTCCCCTCACCCGGGGTCCTGGCTATACCCCTCCCGAAGGCTCCCGACCTCTTCACGCCGGCAGACTCCCGGCACGCAGTCTCCCGGGCGGCCGCTCTCTCGCTCGCCGGCGCCTCGCTTCCGGGGCCCCGTGCGGGGGCCGCCTCGTCTGCTCTCCGGCTGGGGGGGGGGGGGCGTGGAGGAGCCGTGGGTGCGGTTTGGGGGAGACCAGGGAGAGAGAGTGCGAAAGAGAGAGAGAGAGAGAGAGAACGAGGGAGAAGTGGAGGCAGAGGTACAGAAAGAGAGAGAGAGAGAGGGGGAGAGAGAGGCGGGACGAGAGAGCGGGAGAGGGAGGGAGAGAGAGAGAGAGAGAGAGAAAGAGGCAGACGGACAGACAGACAGCTAGACAGACAGACGGACGGACGGACGGACAGACAGACAGACAGGTGGACGGACAGACGGACAGACAGACAGCGACAGAGACAGACAGACAGAGACAGAAACAAAGACAAAGACAGAGACAGACACAGAGACACGGACAGCGAGAGAGATAGAGAAGGAAAGCCAGGGGAGAGAGGGAGAGACGGAGACGGAGATAGAGACAGAGAGAGTCGGCAGGGTCAGTCGAGAGAGAGAGAGAGGCAGAGACTGAGAGCGAGCGAGGTCGACAGAGGCACAGCGGCGGCGCGGAGGGCCCGCCTCCGCGAGCTCCCCGCCCGCCTCCGCGAGCTCCCCGTGCAGCTCTCGGAACGCGCTCAGCACCTCGGCCTGGCGCAGCGAGGCCGGCGCATCGGAGCCCCGCCGCCCGGGGGCGCTCCAGTGCACCGCCGCCAGCGACGGGTCCGACGCGTCCTTTGGGGAGGCGTGCACAGTGCGAGGCGCTCCTCCTCCTCCTCCTCCTCCTCCTCCTCCTCCACCTCCTCCTCCTGCTCCTCCTCCTCCTCCTCCTCCTCCTCCTCCTCCTCCTCCTCCTCTTCCTCCTCCTCCTCCTCCTCCTCCTCCTCCTCCTCCTCCTCCTCCCACTCCTCCTCCTCCTCCTCCTCCTCCTCCTCTCCTCCTCCTCCTCCTCAACTCCTCTTCCTCCTCCTCCTCCTCCTCCTCCTCCTCCTCCTCCTCCTCCTCCTCCTCTCCTCTCCTCCTCCTCCTCCTCCTCCTCCTCCTCCTCCTCCTCCTCCTCCTCCTCCTCCTCCTCCTCCCCTCCCCCTCCTCCTCCTCCTCCTCCTCCTCCTCCTCCTCCTCCTCCTCCTCCTCCTCCTCCTCCTCCTCCACCGCCCGCCGAGGTCTCCGAGAATCGGCGCTCCACGCAGCGGTCGTGTATAGATCCCCGCCTCTCGCGCGGGAGACTCGGGATCGGGGCACTCGGGTTCTCTCGCGTGGGCCCCGGAAGCGGCAGGGCAAATGGTGTACAGTCGGGGCGCTGAAGAAGGAACCCTTTTCGTTGGGGAGGGGCTCCGTGTTCCTTAATTGTTTCACAGCTTGCCTCAGGCTTTCCTTATGTTTTCGATGGGAACTCGGAGTTTATGGAGAAAAAAAAGGTCTCGTTCCTTATTTAGAGTTCCTTGGGTCAACGCCCCAACTGTACCGCTTTCGTGCTTCCGGTGCTCTGCTTGCGGCGCCGTTCTCGTGGACGCTTCTGGAACCGTCGCTTCGCCGAGTTCGCTTACTCTGGTGGAGGCCTTGTCCAGAACCGTTGTCAAACTGGCTCCGAACATCCGTGGAGTGCCCGGGCCGTTTCGGCGAACCGTTTCTTACGATTCGGTGAATCGTTCTTTGGCCGCTTCCATGATCAAGTGGCAGTGATTTGAAAACGGTCAAGGGGTTGGGGACCGGCCCGGGCGTTTCTGAAGGGGCAGCGCTGGCTCTGCAGGATCCTGCAGGATCTGGCGTCCTGGCCGACCCCCCTTTGCATGGACCCCCGTCTCCTGAGCCCCGAGCTCCGGCGAGCTCGAGCCTCTGGCTTCCCCGAGCCCCCTCCAGCGAGTTTCAGGGATGCGGCCCGGAGGGACGGGGCCCCAGGAACGAGCGGCCTCGAACAGGGAGGGTTCGGCCTGGGATCCTGTCCCGGCCCTCTGGGCCCCTCCCTCGGGGGACGAAAAACTGCGTGAGCATTAAAACTCGGAGATCCGCGCGGATGTAGTGGTTCCGCGCTGGCTCCCTCCTCCTCCTCCTCCTCCTCCTCCTCCTCCTCCTCCTCCTCCTCCTCCTCCTCCTCCCCCTTGTTGTCGATGCGTCCCCAGACCTATTTTTTCTCACGCGCAATAGTTTGGGAGAAGACGGAGGGGCAAGAGGTAGGGGACGAACGCAACCGCACTCGAGTAACACGTGCACTCCTTGGCGATACGCGGCAGGGCCTGACCAGCAGCTTCATTTACAGCAACATCCCAGAAGTAAAAAAGCACCAGCGGAAGGAGGAGAAGAGAGGAGGACCAGGACGAGGACAGAAAGGAAGACGAGGAGGGAGAGTGGGCAGCGTGGTTGCCAAGAACGGCTGTCACGCACATCGGCTGCTTAAAACCCTGGCCCATGCCAGAAGTAACAAAAGCACCAGCGATAAAGGGGGGGAGGGAGGGGAGGCGGAAGGACGGCAGGGGAGACGAAGGGGAGGGGAGCAGGAAAACAACATGATACAAATATGGACCGAATTCGTATCATAGCGTAGCGCGTGGTTGCCCAAAATCTGCCTGGAGAAAGAAACCGCCGTCGCCGACAGACCATGTGTCCTGCGAACGTGGCCGAAACTCGGGGCGGATCATCGCGTCGAAAGCGCATCAGTGGCGCGTTGGTCGATATTGGCGAGTCCGGCACCGTCGCGCCAGACCCGGACGGGAATAGAGGAAAGGAGAGAGGCAGAGGAAGAGGAAACGGGAGCGAAAGAGGGAGACATGCTGCTGACACGCTGTGCCCAGGAGAACAAACACAGACGCTAGCGGACTACACTGAAATGAAAGATAAACGCATGCTGAAACAGGCGAGGGAGGAAGCGGAAGAGGGGGACACCCTAGACACTGAAGTTGGCACCGCAATACCGACGTAAGGTCGGCCACTGCCCACGGCCGAGTGAGACGACGTGCACGGGGGGAGCGAGAAGGAGAGGACGAGGCGAGGACGAGGAAGGCGAGGACGAGGGGGGAGGGAGTAAGCGAACGATCGCTTCCGTCGAGCGTCCCGGGGCTCAGAGCCTGTGTCGTCTCCAGCCGGCTTGAACGAAATGGCGAGGCCTGGAAATGCGTAAATCAGATTTACTGCACGTCCCGGGGCCTCCTCCGCGCGAGCGCGAGGAAGTAAAGTGTCTTGGGATGGCCTTGCGCGGCCTCCCTCACGAAAGCAGGAAAAGCCTCCTGCAATCCGGCGGGGAGCCACGACCCGTGCCGCGCACTGCCGTGCACGCGGCATAGCGCGAAGACGGCGAGGGCACGTAATACTGTGCATGCTGCCCGCGCCTCCGCCGCCGGGAGCACTGCAGGAAGAGCCGGTAAGTACTCCAGATTTCGCAATAAAAGGGAAGAGGTCTGGACCCTCCAAGACAAGCCATTTCAGACCTCCCCCGTGGGAGAACCCTCCAAAACATCGTCCCCAGACCCCCCCAGGCACTCCAAGATAGCCTGGAAGAGACCCCCCCCGAAACGAGACCCCCTCCCTTTTATTACGAAATCTGGAGTACGGGGCTACTCCCAAAACGTCATCCAAGCACTGAGGCCGTGGAGGCGTGCTGAGACCAAGGTGGCGGCGGCAAAGCTGATGGAAGCACCCGCATCCAGCGTCATGTTCGATGCTGTCTTCTCCCCGGGGGCAGCCCAGGACGCATCGCCGGACCCCTGCCTGGGGAAACCGCCGGGTGGTCACCCAACCATTACAGTCTGTACGGAGAGCGGCCGCCAGTGCACGGGGCGGGGCATGCGTTGCCAAGGTTTTGAACGTCAGGAAGCGCCAGGAAGACCGGCTGCGCGTGCTGATCTCGCTGCCACCCCTTTTCACGGCGTGGCCCCCCCGAATTCTGGACTTCTTCGCTGGGACTCCCGAGTGGTTCTTTGCCGTTCCAGGGGCCCTGCGAGGGCCCCTGGGGGCCGAACATAGGGGAAGCCTGTCCGTCGCATTTGTTCCTCGATGCGAGGGTGTTTGGCGCTGGGGGCACCCGCTATTTGAGCCGATTTCGCCCCTCCTCCTCCTCCTCCTCCTCCTCCTCCTCCTCCTCCTCCTCCTCCTCCTCCTCCTCCTCTGGCGGTGCGTTGCGCACAAGAGGGGCGACCAGAGGGGAGGGGGACGACCTGCCAAGCGGGCGCGGAGCCTCCGAGAGGGCAGGAAGCCTTCTGGCAAGCCCCAGAGCCCTGTTGCACGTCCGTCAAGCTGTTGCTGCTCGACGTCGAAAGATCGCGGCTTCGACTCGTAGCCTCCCCCCGCGATGGTGTGAAGATGGGCCTTGCCGCCCATCTCCCCCGACCGGCCCCATCGTGGCCGGGGATGATCCACTCTCGGGGGTGAAGGGGGGGGGCATGAACTATTATCCGTACAGGGCAGTTTTAAAAGTGCATCGGATTTCTAAAAATATAGGATTTTGAATACATGTTTAATCTATGAATACATGTATGCATGAACTCACCGTTGTTTTGAATACTAACATTTTTAATACATGATCCGCACGCGGATCATGTTTTAAATACGGCACTCTATAGTTCGGTTCAAACTCCCCCGCCGGCGCAGCGGGCGGCCGTCCCCCTTGCGCCACGCCTCGGGGACCTGCCGACCCAGGTCAATCCAGACCCGGGCCTGGTCAGTCAGGCTTCGCAGGATCCTGCAAGATCCTGCAGGATCCTGCACCGCAGCCCAGGCCAGTGCACCCCTGACCCTGCATGATCCTGCAAAATCCAGCGCTCTGACAGACCCCCGTTTGCCTTGATCGTGTCGGGCGAAAGGAGGGGATAGCAAAGGGGGGCCGGGAGAATCAGCTCACGTAGCTGATTTTCCCGGCGCCAGAGGCGGCTATGTATCGAGGAATGGGCCCCTCGGTGAGACCGAAACCAGCTGCATGCAGCAAATTTCGCAATCCCCCCCTTTCCCAATCCCCCCCTTTCGTCCGGCCCGCATTGACCACACTTAAGCGCGCTCCGCCGTTGTGTGCCGTTTGCTACTCCTCGATCCTCGGGGATGCGCAGCAGCGGGAGGCACTCGCTCCTCGGCACCGCCAGAGGGTACCTCCGTGCACGCGCCGCCGCCGCAGCTCGGTCGGGGTCGTGCTGGGCCCTGACCAAAGAGGCCCAGGGACACGCAGAGAAGTAGCCACGAATCCTTGGATGTCCCACAGTTTCCCATATGTTCTGGGTTTCCGGCCTTCAGGGGAACGAGCAATGGCATAAACATAAAAACTCGGAGGTCCGCACGGGGATTTCTCGGATCCGCGCTGGACCCCCTCCCTGGCGCGCGGAGCACGCCAAGGACGGCGCCGGAGGCGCCGCCGCGGGGGCTC